CATGTATAAAATACACACTTTGTCTCTTGTGCTTCAGATCGCTGAGTTAAAATGGCAACAGTCAGGGCATAGGGGCTGGAGACACATATAATGGCCTGCAAAAGCAATTAAGTGCCACAGAGACATTGGATTTGATAACCACAGAAGATTGTTTACTGCCCTGTTTACTCCTGACCATGAATACTGTGCTCCGTGCACGTCAGGAGCCTAAGCAAACCCCAGTGCTCCGACACTTTTGTGGCTCTGCTGAGACTCCGCAGCGCACACACACTTCCCACCGGCACCACTGTGCAGGTGGCTTTCCCGAGGCTTTCTGCTCCAAACTATACTCTCCAGTTGTGTGGGGAATACACTCATCAAACACACACAGCCATCAGAGCTGCTCTCCCTTCCACGCTCTCTTGTTTTTATGTGCTCCATTCCTTTGCATCCTCCCACACCATGGTTTTTTTCCCTCTGCTAAGACCACAGACAGGCTTTACTGCTAGAAAAGCCTCAGGAGTTTGGAATTCAGATAGCATGGGGGACCTGCTACACTTAGCACCATGCCACAACCACTGCTCAGCCCAGGCAGGCTGGCACCCTCGGTCACCAGGAGGGGAACTGACTCCTTGCTGTGTTTGTCCCAGGTCTGACATGAGAGAACAACTCCTCTCATCTTTAAAAGCCAGCTGTGTAGTGCTGGACAGCCCAGGAGAGAAAGCTCCAGCAGTGGGAGAGCCCCAGGGCAGTGAGCTGTGGCAGCCATGGAGCTTTCTCACTGCTCCCGAGACAAGGTGAGGTGGGAGGGGGTTTACTGCTGCATCCTTCTCTCAGCATGGTGAGGGCCCTGGGCTCATTCCTGGCATAACACCACCAGGTGTACCCACCTGATTTTGGAGGGACAGAGGTGTACAGAAGCCCAGGCTCCACCACTGCTTCTTCTACTCTGGTTAGCATCTGTTACGATCCGATTAGTGAGAGGTACCTTTGCCCAAATTAAAGTGCAAATGAGACCATATGCCAAAGTCAATAATACGTTAATAACATAATAATATAGTAATATGGGGTTTATTTAACAATAAAATGTGAGGTAGAGAGAGAGAAAGATATAGGAAAGAGCAGGGGGAAAGAGAGAGTGAGAGATACAGACAGACAGACAGAGACAGAGAGAAGTAGTCACTACTCATGGATCCAGCAGCATCCCATTGGTCCTTCTTCACCCTGGGCTTCTGGATGGTGGAAGTCCCAAGTTGCTCTTCTAGTGGCTGGGGTCTTGTATTATGCCCTTGGTGCTGGGGGTCCCAGGTTGTTCATCTGAGGGTACCACCTTTATACAGTCCAAATTCCCTGTATTTGTGGAGGCATATTCCTAATTTACACATGAAGCATGAATGGACATGCCTTCATCTGCATGCTTCCTTGAGGTGGGGGTTCAGTGGTCGCAGATACCGCCTGTCCAATAACTCAGGGTGATCCTTGACCAGTGATATGTGTATACAGTTTGTCACA